CCATTTTTTGATGGGGTTGTTTATTTTTGTTGAGTTTCATCAGTTCTCCATATATTTTTGTGATCAGTCCTTTATCGCTACTTTTGTGTGAGAAAATGTTTTCCCAATTAGTGGGCTGTCAGTTTTATCTTTTTAAAAAGATTTATTTATTTACACATACAAGAACTGGGGTACACACCAGTGGTGTGTGTGGGTTGCTGCTCAGAGATTCACCAGAGACAGAGTGGGCAGTAGAACAGGCAGACTAACAGAAACGAACGCACTGATGAGGGGAGCAGCTGGCAGGACAGGAGAGGTCTGCCGTGCCCTGGGGTTCGCCCCCTGCTGGGGATCAAACTGGCACTGCAGTGGCTGCGATCTCTTCCTGGTGCTGAGATTGGCCCCTGCGCCACCAGGGAGGCGTAGGGCTCAGGCCTCCTAATCCCCAAACTGCAGACTAGGCTGTGACTTCCAATTCTGACTGACTGGTTGTAGATCAGAGATCTGCACTACTCCCCTCTCCCTGGGCTGATTATTCGCTAGAGGCAGTGCAGGGACCTTAAGACATTTTAACTCAAAATTCAAGAACAGCCACATGGAAAAGCCCAGAGAGTAAAGCGTACTTACCTACCAGAGGGTGCGCTGCCTCTCCTGAGCTTCCCGTGGTACGCTGGGAGCTCTCCAGACCCCTTTGTTTTGGATTCCTCGGGGTAGCTGGTCAGTAGGCACAGTCTCTCTAGCCCCTCCTTGGATGTCGGCTGGGACTGGAAGTTCTAGCCCGTCAATGAGATGGCTGGTTCCCTAGCAGTTTGCCCACCAGTTTTAGGTGCTTTCCACAACCACCTCACTGACGTAGAATCTGGTGTTCTGGAAACAGGTTATGAATATCAAGGTAGTTCTGTCAGTAAAGACTTCCAGGGTTGGGATTCAGCACTGGGGATGAGACCTTCTTTTGCTTCTCAATTACAACATTTCATGAGCTTGATTTCAAAAGGTCTTTATATAAAATGGGTTAGAGAAATGTATCTAATGAAGTAAGTTTAGTTTTGGTCTAAGAGATTTTAATATAGAACTGTGGTTGGTTTTAGGCATTCGTTATAAACTACATATTTAAACTGCAATGTTTTTCTTTTAGGTGGTATGTTTTTAGCCACAGGTAGTACTGATCATGTAATCAGAATGTACTTTCTGGGGTTTGAAGCACCCGAAAAAGTTGCAGAACTTGAAAGCCACACTGTAAGTACCCACATTTCAAGATTCTATAGATTATTTTGAATAATATACTCAGAGATACAGAGTCCAGTGCTACTAAGTGGACTGTTGCTGACTTAAAGGTGAAGGCTGTCATCGACGAGCGGGCAGCACCTTGATACTGCTGATCTGTCCTGTGGTCATTTCAGCCGGAAGCCCATAGTCTTGGTGATGACGCTGAGCTGAGTGGCTTACGTGCAGGACACTATCCAGCCTTGTGGAAGCAGAGGCCGTTCTGTTCATGACAAAGGCAGATAGCGTCAGAACTGTGCTGCTGGCCAGCGGGCGGCCAGCGCTGCTCCCGTAGAGAGTGCTGGGCGGTTACTTCTATGAGTGAAAAAGATTCACAGAGCTTTAGAAGCAGCATCATTTTGCACATTATCGCCCATGTGAATGTGGTTTGTTTTCAGTTGAATGAGCCTTCATATTTTGACTACTTGGCACACATACCAGGTTGACATAGTTGTCATTAGTGATTAATTGTAGAGGCAGCTCCCGTTTAGAAGCAGAGCTTTTCCGCTAGCGTCTTAGTCGCCTTGTTGGAGTCACAGACTCTGCACTTCAATGCCCAGTCCCTGTTTGCGGGACAGGACTGAGGGCCCAGTGCTCACCAGCCCTAAAGCTGAGTGCTTTTGTTTGTTCACTTCCTGAGCTGATCGTCTGTGTGTGTGTGTTTTCCCCTTTAGGATAAAGTTGATAGTATTCAATTCTGTAACAACGGCGACCGGTAAGTTAAGTGTCTTTGTTTCCGGGTGGGCGGGCTGCTGCTTGTAGGGTCGCTTGCCCAGCAGAGCATCTGTCACGGGGCTTCTAGTAATGTGACAGCTGCAGGAGTGAAAGCGTCTGGGCAGGGGAAGCACCAGACGCAGATTTGTGGAGTTGTTTTTGGGCTCTTAAGACCAAAAGTGGTTACTCTTTAGCTCAACATTTGTTAAGTGTTGATTTCCAGAAAAAAATTGGTGTCAGGATAATGAAGTCCTTTAGGTTTGTGAGTAGTTACAAAAAAAGCAACTCCCCAGCCAGCCGTTTGAGGTGCCCTCTGGGGGGGCCCCTTGGCCCTCGGCGCCTCTCCTGAACTGCAGCTCCTGGGTTATTTGCACACAGGGACCAGCATGAGTCAATTTGAACTTTTTGCTCTTATGTAAATTTCCCATACATCTTTGATTCCCCCCGTACTTCTTGTATGTTGCCTTCTCAAAATGCAGTTTGTTTGACAAGCTGTTGAGTTCGATAAGTGCTTTACTTTGTAGGGCCAAGCAAATCATAGCGAACCTGATGCTCGCCCATTCTTATCTGTCCTAATGTCTGACTTCTGAAGGAGCACCGGTAGCTTTGCCCGTAGCCAAGATAGCGATGTTCAGTATTATTTTGCACGTGGTTTTGACGGTTGGCGGTGGCGGCACGTGTGTGAGTGTGAGCCCTTTTTCTGACTATTCTGAGGTTCCTGAGCGGCAGCAGAGATGGCACGGCGCGGATCTGGCGGTGTGAGCAGCTGGAGTGGAGAAGCGTTTTGCTGGATATGGCTGCCAGGCTCTCCGGGTAAGCGTCGGGAGTGGCTGTGCGCTTGGCGCTTGCTCTCGCTCCCTGGTTGACTGGCTGCTTTGCTGGGGGTGGGGGTAGCTAACTTTTTAGTGAAAGGCTGCTTCCTGCATGTCTGATACATAGATGATTGAATGGGAAAAAGAATCCTCACGTTTATGGAGGAAAGACCATCCTGTCCTGCTGCCCCAAACATGGACTTTCAGGTGTTCCATTTGCAGCCACGTATAATTTAAAAAGAGAAATTATAAAAATAACTCACACATGGTAAATGTGGACATTTTACTTTTCTGTTGATGGGATTTTCTTGAAAAGTCACTGGTAGCTAAGCCCAGGGAACCACGTAATAAGCGAACACTGCGGTGTCCATCCAGAAACGCCCGGCCCAGCGGGGTGCGTTTGCTGAGTCCTGCCGGTGTCTGTGGGCTCCAGCTGCAGCCTTCTCGCCCAGCTGACACAGGCTCAGGGATTCCTGAGCGTCTTTGAGGTAAATGTAGTCCTTTCCCAAGGCAAACGCTAGGTAGGAATTTGAAGTGCATAACTGTTTTGGTTTGTAGACAGGGGAGTCAGCACAAGTGCTCGGAGCATGTCCGAGCCCTGCCTACACCGCGCACACGCTCAGAGCTGCGGAGACTGGAGGGCGTCGCTCAGCATTTGTCTGTTTCCATCTGCTGGGGAGTGAGAGCACCTGTCTTTGAATATTGCTGGGAATTCAGATGAAATACGACAGTTCTAGAGCAGGCTCAGCGGTGTTTTCTAGCCAATACCATCATTTTAATTACACCAGTTGAGATCTTACCCTTTTTCTGAGGAACATGTTAACGCTTTGTCTCTTGGAATCCCTCATGTGCCTTATTTTCAGTGATTGTAGCAAGTGGTGACTTATATTCTCTGCTGTGATCCAAACAATTGGGGTTCGAAATAAATAGCGCCTTAATGTACCTGGGGATGATCTGTGGCGTGGGACGTGATCAGCCTCGCTCACCAGCTGAGCTTAACCATTATTTCCTGATGCCACACCCCGATGACAGAAGCAGCCCCGTGTGAAGTGAGACTGCCGAGCCTCAGGCGCTCGGAGGAAGGGGCGTGTGGACCCTCGAACCTGTAGTCCCCCAGCAGAGGCAAGATGGGAACATCCATGTGGAGGAATGAATGAAGCTTCCTCTTTCTCGAAGGAGCCTGGGAACTGCCTAACTTTCTGGCTGCCTGGTGCTCTTCCTGGAGAGAGCTTTCCCTGGACTTCCTTCGGGAGGCGGGGGCCCCTTTTCTCATGGGAGGTTTTACTTCTTTCCCATCTTGAAAAGAAGAGCTCTCTGTGTGTCAGAGTCAGTGCCCTCGTGTCAGTGTTCTGATCTTGCCTCATCAGCTTGGTGACAGCAGCTTGTCTGATAGTGGACCCGGGGTCGTTCGCAGAGGACACCTTTTAGCATCAAGTGAAGCCTGGAGTCTTTGCTTTTGTGCCAGGCCGTCTCTTCCCTGCCATCTCCTGACCAGTCTCGCTGCCGTGACCCCTGTTGTTTCACGCACACTCAATCTAGTGCCATTTCCCATCGTGCCCATTTCGCCATCTCTTGAATACAATGCCACTGCCCTCGTAGAGATGTGTGTTCTTGATTTCAGAAGTAGCAGGCGTCTCCCACAGTCACTATTTACTGCTGATGACTGCTTCACAGAGAACCTTTGTACAGCACTTTATTTATTTTTTAAGATTTTATTTATTTTTGTGTAGAAGAACTGGGGTGCAGCTAGAGGTGCAGGGGGTAAGAGGACTTCCCAGAGACGCAGTGGTGCAAAACAGGCGAATCTACTGAAACCCACCGAGGGGAACAGCGGGGAGACAGGAGAGGTCTGCTGTGCCTGATGGGAGGGTTGTACTCAGGCCGCCTGTGGTGACTGCACTGAGACTTCACCCCTAGGCCACCAGAAGGCCTTGTTGTACATCTCCTTAAAAAAAAAAATATGACAGGACTTTCTGTTTAAGATTGATATATTTATGCATACAGAACTGGGGTACAGGGCAGAGGTGCAGAGGCGGTGAGAAGATTCACCAGAGACAGAGTGGGGAGCAGAACAGGCAAATCGACGAAGTACGCTGCTGAGGGGAGCAGCGGGCAGGTCAGGAGAGGTCTGCTGTGCCCTGTGGGTCACCCTGGGGTGGGGGATTGAACTTATGCAGAAGCGGATGCAGCCGGCTTCATAGTGCTGCACTTTTTTTTTTTTAAGACTCATTTATTCATACAGAACTGGGGCACAGGCCAGAGGTGCAGGGGTGGTGAGAGGACTCCCCAGAGACAGAGTGGGGAGCAGAACAGGCAGATGGACGAAGTACGCTGCTGAGGGGAGCAGCAGGCAGGTCAGGAGAGGTCTGCGGCGCCCTGTGGGTCAGCTGCGGGTCTGGGGATAGAATTCTCACCAAGGCAGCTGCGGCTGGCTTGCAGTGCTGCGCTTTAACCCATCACGCTACCAGGGAGGGCCCCCCTGTACACCCCTTTCTTAAGGCTGGAAAACTCTGTCGTCGTAAATTACCGCAGTACCAGCACCGAGGTAGTAGAGCACTGAGATGTGTCACTCACGGTTCAGCAGACCGAGGGAGTCAGGCACCGTTCTCGACTTTGAGGGTGAGAAGATGGATTCTCTTTCTGTCCATCTCCAGTTGGTGCGTACTCTGGAGAAAGACTTGAAAGTATTACTCTTGGCTTCGGGTCAGGAGCGAGAACAGCTTTGCATTCGCCAGCAGCAAGCTGTCCTGAAATTGCCTTGACTCATTTGGCTGAACCGCTCTGGGCCTTCCCTGCCTTGGGATTGCCCCAGTCTGTCACCCGTTGTGTGTGGAGGGTCCACGGGAAGTGCCCTCCGTGCAGCTGATGCGGGTGAGCTGGAATACTCGGGTTTTGATGCTGATAAGGGACTTTACACATTGTGTAACCTACCACCCCAATGAAATTTGTTCTTAGGGACTTATCTTCGGAAGAGGAAAGGTTTATGAAACCCAAAGTAACAATGATAGCTTGGAATCAGAACGATAGCATTGTGGTCACCGCGGTGAATGATCATGTCCTCAAAGTGTGGGATTCTTACACTGGACAGCTGCTTCATAACTTATTGGTAGGTAGTTTTTAAAAAATCCTTTATTGAAGTAACAATGGTTAGAACCTTATGTAGGTTTTAGGATGGTAGGTAGCTTTTAGATCAAAATGTCAAGATTTTTTTGAGCCATAATTTTAGTCTTGAAAAATTATTAAGCATATTGGTAAATGAGTAGACGTTTGTATACATACTAACATATAATGTAAGTATATTTTTAGGAACCCTTAAGTACTGTGACCACACAGGGTTTTAATTTTAAGCTTAAAACTTGCAAACTTGCCTTAACTATGTGACTTTGTTGAATAAAGGGACATGCTGATGAAGTGTTTGTTTTGGAGACGCATCCCTTTGATTCCAGAATTATGTTATCTGCAGGACATGATGGCAGCATATTTATATGGGATATTACAAAAGGCACCAAGATGAAACATTATTTTAACATGGTGAGTGAAGTATATCTTTGTGTGCATGCTACCTTGGTTGTGAAGTTAGCTGGAGACTGGCCTGCATGTGTTGGCAGTTTATAATTCTAGGAATTAGGCTGTGTAAAGCCTAAGAAAGATCTGACAGCTGTATATTCGTGGATACCTATATACACATGTGAAGGTTCTGTGTAGCTGATTCATAGGGAAAGACTTTCAAAAGTTAACTCGCATTTGAAAGTGTCACAAATGTGTAAAATTATGATTATACACTATTGTTTCCTTGTTTAAATTTATTGAAATATTTGATACAAAAACAAATTAAAACAATTTATCCTCAGTAAAGTCTTTCTGGAACCAAGCATCATCGGCTTTTTCAGCCTCTTTTTTTTTTTTTTTTTTTTTTTAAATATGCTTGTTCCAGAGCTAAGTTAGGGTCTCTTAAATACTTTGTAATTCTTCCCCATAACCACAATACAGCTACTAAAATCAGCAAGTTTCATGTTGGTAAAATAGCATCACTTAGTCCAGATTTATATTCAAATTTTTTAAGTCATCCTGATAACAATTACATATCTAATTTACCCCATTGGGCCAAAATGCAGTTATGGACTGGGCATCGTAGTAAGTCTGTGCCTCGAGTTGTCTTTTCATTTTCAAAGGTCCTTTTGTATTTCTTCTGTTTCTTGCCCCCGCCCCCCCCCCCTTTTTTGGATGGCGATGTTGTAAATATGTTTTGTTTGCTGTTTCTTCATAATCCACTTATTTTGATGGAGTAGGATAAATGATAATGTAGCCTTCTTTTGCTTTGTGATAGGAGGTATGTGTTACATATTTGTCTCACTGTTGGCGATAATTTAAAATACTCTTTGAAGGTGGTGTTTGCCAGTCAACTTTCTTTTTTAATAGTGTGGTTCTTTCTATTTTATTACTTTTTTTTGTATAGAAGAACGAGGGTGTGCAGGCCAGAGATGCAGAGGTGAGCGGATTCCCCAGAGACAAGTGAGCAGAACAGGTGGATTGACTGAAACCACTGCTGTGGGAGCGGTGGGTAAGACAGGAAGGGTCTGCTGCGCCATGAGGCTTAACTCTCTGGCCCAGGATGGAAGTCAGGGTGATAGTGCGGAGACATAACCGCTAGGCCACCAGGGCCCCTGCCAGTCAACTGAAATGTGACACTGAGTTGTTCTACAGGCACAGTGCAGATTTCATTTTGTCTGGAGTCATCAGACATCTCTGCAGGCCTTGGGGGACGGCCTGAGTCTGTTTGGGAAAACCTTTTCAGCAAATAATGAGGTTTTTGGTGCCAAGAGAGTGGCTGCCACCAGTGTGGCCATGCCAGCTGCGGGCTCTTATTCACCTTCCCACCTCTGCTGTGTTCGGACCTGTATCCCCAGGAGGGGTGGAAAGGGAGCTAAGGTGCCAGTGGGTTGTGCTGTAGGTGGCTCTTCCTGAAGACCATGTGGGAGAATCTTTGTGTTTTATTTTTCTCTCTTCTAAAGATTTATTTATTTATGCATACAGAACTGGGGTGTAGGCCAGAAGTGTGGATGGTGAGAGGATTCCCCAGAGACAGCGTGGGGAGCAGAACAGGCAGATCCACAAAGTCCACTGCTGAGGGGAGCAGTGGGGAGACTGAAGGGGTCTGCTGTGCCCTGGGGGTCCCTCCCTGGGCAGGATCAACTGATGCTGCAGTGGCTGCTTCATAGTGCTACTCTCTGACCCCTTGTGCCACCAGGGAGGCCTCTTTCTGTGTTTTAATGAAGAAACGGAAGGGGAGCATTTTGATACTTTTTCCTTTTTATATTATGAGAGTACGCAAGTTTGTGACATACTATTTTTCTTAGCCTGCCCTTTGTTGCTCAGTGAAGTTTTCTCAAGTTTGTAAATTGCACCACTCCTGTGTGGTCAGATCAGGTGTGACCCTCAGGCAGTATGTAGAGTTAGTGGGTAGAGGATTCATTTTTCTAGTGGCAAATGTAAGGTTTAGCTGTTGGGAAGTTACAGGCGCAGACCACAGACGGGCATTGTGCTGCCCTGTGGACTGCAGTTTGGCAGCGCTGATCCAGGGTGATGAGCCAGGACGGGAGAGGGAAGTGGAGTGGAAGTGGGGCGGCACCAAGACCCTCCTGGGTCTTTCTTGGGCCTGTGCGCTTGCCCAGAGCTGCCTGGGGCTGGAAGCAGAGCTCGTGGGCTGCGCACTGCTCGAAGGAGTGAAGTCTTCCCTTTGCGGGGCCAGATCCTTGGTTCTGTCATTCTGTCATTTTCACAGTGTCATTCAAGATGTTTTCTGGACTAGTGCACCTGAAGTGACTTGTCTGCAAATGTTGATGTGTGTGTTTCATGCAAAATTGACTCCTTTAAGTTTTTCCCACCGGAGAGGTGTGTTGTGGCCCCTTCAGCATGAGAGCAGGTGATGGGTCGCAGTGCCCAGGTGAACGTGGCCCTCATGTGCCCCTGTGTTCCTAGATCGAAGGACAAGGACACGGCGCCGTGTTTGACTGTAAGTTCTCCCCAGATGGACAGCACTTCGCCTGCACAGACTCCCACGGGCACCTCCTCATATTTGGTTTTGGATGCAGCAAACCGTACGAAAAGGTCATTTTCATCTTTATGTACTTGCAGCGTGTGGTCAGTAGTTGAGAAGAACGTTGTGGAGATAGCCTAGATGCGTTGATTTCTTTGTTTTTTTCTAGTTCTAGTTTATGTTGAATATGCAAGGCTTAACATGTCAACCTGTAAACTCCTTTTCTAGATTCCCGATCAGATGTTCTTCCACACGGACTATCGGCCGCTGATCAGAGACTCTAATAATTATGTCTTGGATGAGCAAACCCAGCAGGCCCCGCACCTGATGCCACCGCCCTTCTTGGTCGACGTGGATGGGAACCCTCACCCTACCAAGTACCAGAGATTAGTGCCGGGTCGGGAAAACTCTGCGGACGAACATCTGGTTCCACAGCTCGGCTATGTGGCAACAAGTAAGTTGTTTTCCGCTTTCACTTTTTTATTCGAAAACTATAAAGAATAATCCAGTAGTTTTCTACTTTCAGATTACCAGCTATTAGCATGTTAGATACTGCTTTATTCGGTGTCTGTAGTACTACTCTCCGGACCGTTGAAGCTCTGCACCGTGCGCCCATTTGCCTCCCCTGAACCACAGGCACTCGTGAACAGCCATGGTCATTATCAGATGAGGCTATTTCAGACTTACATTTTGGTTTATCATCAGACATTTGCCTGTTTGAATCAAACATTTCTCTGTTCCCGATACAGCATTTTTTTTTCTTAAAAGATTTATCTACCTGTGCGTATAGAACTGGGGCACAGAGGGTAAGAGGAGTCCCTAAAGACATTGGGGATCAGAACAGGCAGATAGACTGAAATACATTGCTGAGGGGAGACAGGAGAGGTTTGCTGCATCGTGTGGGCCACTCACCGGCTGGGGATCGAACTCACGTTGCAGTGGCTCTGACAGCTTCATAGTTCTGAGACTTAATCCCTTATTCCATCAGGGAGGTCTCTGATAAAGCTTTTTTTTTTTATTAGAAATCTGTTGAATAGCAACAACAAATGTTGGCGAGGATGTGGAGAAAAAGGAACTCTCCTGCACTGCTGGTGGGAATGCAAACTAGTACAACCACTATGGAAAACTGTTCGGAGGTTCCTCAAACTGCTACACATGGAGCTTCCATGGGACCCAGCAATCCCACTCCTGGGTATCTACCCAAAAGACACAAAAACACTGATTCAAAAAGACGCCTGCATCCCATGTTTATTGCTGCTTTATTTACAATTAGAAAGACATGGAAACAGCCTAGATACCCAAAAGTAGATTGCATTAAAAGATACCCATAGCCTAGATACCCAAAAGTAGATTGCATTAAAAAGATGTGGTCCGTATACACTATGGAGTATTACTCAACAATCAAAAAAAAACGAACACCTGCCTTTTGCAGCAACATGGATGGAGCTGGAAAAGATCATGCTTAGTGAAGTAAGCCAGAAAGAAAAGGAAAAATACCGGATGGTTTCTCTCATAGCAGGAGTATAAAGGGCCAGTGGTAAAATAATAGTAATACTAACGAGTAACTGGATACCAGAGACATTTTACGGGGGTGGAGTGGGAAATGGGATCAAAAACCGGTGGGTGGACTGTGGTGGTGGTGGACTGTGGTGGGGGATTTGGTGATGGCAAGCCCACGGAGATGACAACTGAGATGGGAAAAGGCACAAAATGATGCAAAAATAAACTGTTATAATAATAATAAAAAAATCCTGTTGAAGATGTCAGTTTGAGACTGCATATTAAAATTTAGTTTAGTTTTTTTTTAAAGATTCATTTATGCATATAGAACTGGGGTCCATGCCAGAGGCTGCACCAGACACAGAGTGGGGAGCAGAACAGGCAGACGGACTGAAAGGCACGTGCTGAGGGGGGCAGCGGGAGAGAGGAGGGGGCTGCCGTGTCATGTGGTCACCTCCAGGTGGGGGATGGAACTGTCACTGAGGCTGCTGTGGCCAGCTGCAGTGCTGCGTCCTGACCTGTGCCACTAGAGGCCCAGTTTTCTCTTTATTCTTTCTATTCTTTGCTTTTTCCTTCTTGTTGAAATTGATTCTCTTTTAATGTTTCATGTTAATGTCTACTAATATTTTACTAAAGATACCTTTTTGTCTTACTTTTAGTGAGTGGCCTAGGGGAGGAATTGCGCTTTGTAAACCTGTTGTTTTTTCCATGATCTTTTCATAGGATTTTAGAGGTGACAGCTGTCTTCCTAATAAGAGGGGAAGCAACACTCACCTTTTATGTTTGCGTTTGCACTGATGGCGCACGAGCCAGGGGTCGTGAGGCCAGGACACTGGTCCATGTGAAGGCCCCGCCCCCGACTCCTAGCCGCTGTCGTGGCCTCGCTGCTCTACCCCGCATTCTTAAGTCGCTGAATGTTAAAATTTGAGGCCTGCACTGAACAGTTGTGCCGGGTATTCTGAAGTCTCCTTGCTGGCTGGTGGCTGTGACTTGCCAGCTTTGTGGCGGCCTGGGAGTGGCTCGACACACTGCCTGCTCACATCCTGGCCTGCAGGTGTGACGCGGTGCACGCGCGTGGCCTGCCAGCCCGTGGAATGGCTCAGCCTCAGGGCCGCCCTCAGCGTCCGTGCAGCCCATCCTCTGATGTCCTTCCTGCATGCTCGCACCCTGCCTCCCCCATTGACCTTTGTCGCCTCAATTCTGGGACCTTTGGGTGCAGTTTGGGCTCCCCGTACAGAGGCAGAGGCTGGTCGCTGTGTCCAGGCCGGGCTCCGTTACCTGTTTCGGGGTCACGTTGCCTGAAGCCCCGTCCCAGATGGCTTGGTTGTGCTGCTGGTGGCGGGAGGTACTCGGCCCTCCTGCCGGCCTTCTCCGTGTCCAGGCAGTGGCTGCGCCCAGTAGACACGGTCCCTGCAGGACTCACACACTAGCAGGTGTCTGCTGGGAGAACAGGCACCTGCACTGAGGTAACGGGGTTACAAGTCTCTTCCGCTTCTTTCCTTTTGGTCTGTTATTGTGCGTCTTAGGAGTTTTACATTGTGCCCTCTTAGGAGGAAGCCCTTACCCTTTTAGATTAGGGCTCTACTTTTGCTTTCTTAGCACAGTTTGAGTGGCAAGAAAATTATGATTATTTACTTTTAAAATAATGTCATACTTTATTCTGACACCATTTTGTGCCTTTTCCCATCTCAGTTGCAATCCCCAGGGGCTTCCCATCACCAGATCACCCTGTGCCATCACCACAGTCCAGTGCACTCCTCCCCCCCCATTTTTGATCCCCACTCCAAAATCCCCAAAAATTGTCTCTGGTATATAGTTGCTCGGTATTATTAAGAAAAATTGTGATTGTTAAAGAACACGTGTCTGAGTTTATTTCATTTTGCTTTTCTAAGCTTGGTATTATTAAGAAAAATTGTGATTTTTAAAGAACATGTGTCTGAGTTTATTTCATTTTGTTTTCTAAGCTGCTCTTCACTGATTTTCCATAGTAAAACAGAGATGTTACCAGTGAGATCAAAGGGAAGTTAAGTAGTAGGATGGACCTATTTTCCCTCTGGTGACACCATATTTTTCAGCTTTTAAGTCTGTCACGATGGAGGCGAGTTTGTAGCTTTGTATTCTTTTGCTTAATAGCCAGTTAGTTTCGGTTCATGGGGCTCTGGAGAAGCAGGTGCAGCTGTGGTGGTCCGTGTGCAGCACGTTTGTACGGAGCCCATCCCACATTCAAGCAGGTGCAGGTGACACCTGAGAACGGATGCGCATGTGCAGATAAAGTTCACAGGCCCCACAACGCTTTCATCTTTGCGTCTGTGAATACTAACTCCGGAGCTGTGTAGTATCTATAAAAATACAGTACTTGAAGAGTAAAAAACAAAGAGATTTAAAACATCTGATGTCGCACTTGACAGACTCAGGTACTGGTGTTGCCACTGCACACCTGGGAGGGCGTGTAATTCCGACGTGTGGTTCCTGGGGCTGGTAGAGGCCTCTCCAGGCTTCCGCTCGGGGCCCCCCAGGGGAGCTGGGCTGTAAGTGTTGAAGGCCTAGAAGGGCATGCTGCCTCTTTCTTTTCTCCTTAAGGCACTGGAGAAGAAATGAAGTTTGCACTGTTGATCTGCTTCAGAAACCTTGTGAACTGGGGTGTAGGCCAGAGGTGGGGGGTGGTCAGCAGACTCCCCAGAGACAGTGAGGCGCAGAACAGGCAGATGTGTGGAAACGCATTGCTGAGGCTCTGCTGCGCCCTGTGGGTCACTCCCTGGCCGGGGGTGGACTCAGCTTGTGGCGGTGATAGTTCATAGTTCCCTGTCTAGAACACAACATAATCGAATCACCACTGAAGTGTGTTTCCATAGGAAGGAACATTTTAGGGGGTTTTAGAGGCTCTGTTGAGGTTATGTGGTATTGAGTACTTGAAGGGTTTTGTTTTGGATCTTTTTCTGACCCATTTCATTATGAATATATGGGATAGCTTTCATGGGTCAGTTTTTAAAAACCAAGAGTGACAATTGCTGAGGTCATTTTTAACTATAGTATGCTGGCAGTCCCCCTTGTTTGCACAGAGTACTTACACTCACTGTGTGTGCAGGTGACGGGGAGGTCATCGAACAGATTATAAGCCTGCAAACCAGCGACAGTGGCGAGCGGAGCCCCGAGGCCAGTGTTCTTGACGGAATGATCAGACAGCTGCAGCAGCAGCAGGACCAGCGGCTGGGCACAGGCCAGGACTCTGCTCCCGGTGGCCTTCCGCGTGGGGAAGAGACTCCCCGAAGAGGTAATAAATACGTGAGAAATACTTCGCCTTAAGAGGGCTGCGTGGAAGTTGAAGAGGCAATGGTGTCACTGTCGGGGCCGAGCCACGTTTCCGAGAGCCGGCGCTGGGGGTGGAGTGGCGGTTCTGTCCCCAGGGCGTCTGAACTTGGTGCTGTGCAAATGTCCGAAATGGTTTTAAAAGTGCTTAAAGATTGTACTTGGGGGAAAGAAAAGCAAATAAGTCTTTTAAAGATAGCTGATTGCCCCTGACATGAGCACTTGTCATTTTTGGGAAGCAGAATGTGGGCCGAGCACTCAGGTTCCTGACAGACGGGAGCTTGGGCTGGGCTTCAGGGCCCACGCCAGGGTGGGGCGCCATCTCTGTGACTCTGCAACTCGGCTAGCCAGAGGGAGCGAGTGGGGCCCCTCTGGGCGGGGCCGGCCGCGAGCGAGCGTGGAGAGGCTTCAGGGCCCTCCGGACTGCCCCAGGACTGCCCCAGCCCTGCGGGAGCTCGTCCCCGAGGGGCTGCTGGGTTGGGCTTTGCTGGGGGTTTTGTGCTGCCGGTTCATTGTGTGTGCCAGGTAATCTGCTTTTTCTTGATGTGGACTCTTTAATTTTTGGTTTATGAATCATTAACTTCACAGAATCTACTGTAATGAAATTGAGGCGGAAACGGCACGCTTTACTTGAAGGAGGACACGCGGTGCGCCGGTGCTCTCCCTGGCTTGCCGTCAGTGCCGGCTCGGCGCAGTTCCGTGGGCCCGAGGGCCCGCGCGCTCTTGCTGTCGTCTGCTATGTCTTCAGATGTTATTTCTTCAGGTTTTTTTTTGGAAGAGTTTTATCTGGAAGTTCTGTTGATTCTCTTTCCATTCTGGCTCCTGAGAAGTGTGGCCTTGTCTCGTGGCTGAGTGCACAGGCCTGGTCCTGTCGGTCTTGCTTGGAGGCCTTCTCTGGCCGTGGACACAGCCTCTGGCCGTGGGCGTGACCCTGTGTGTGGCCGCTCCTGTGGGCCTTTCCCGCCACAGTTACTCTGAAGATGGCGTTGGTTCTTTTGACTTCCAGAACATGGGAGATTGACACTGGCTTTTAAATTTATAAAAGGGGGGTCTACTGGGTGACTGAATTCTTCCCCCAATACTATGTTTTTTTTTTTTTTTTTTTTTTT